AGCAGGAATCCCAGGATAGGCACTCACAATTGGTTTGGTGGCTCCGTAGGGCCCTCAAGTTCTCAGGCTCTCCTGTGTGGAAACAGACCTTCATATCATACCAGTCACCTAGCGGCAAGATGACTGCTGCATCTCCAGCCATTACCTCCACATTCCAGTCGGGAAGAAGTAGGAAGGCCAGGGAAGCAAGTCTTTCTAGAGAGTCTCACCTTGTTTTTTTTTGTTGTTGTTGTTTTTGGCTAAAACTGTGTCATGTGGCTACTCTTAGCTGCAAGGGAGTCTGATGAAGCAAGAATTTTTAGCAGGGCGCATGAAGGCTACGCAGTTTGGTGGATAAGAAAGAAAGGGGAAAAGATATTGAGTGGGCAGTGAGCAGTGTCTGCTACAACAGCATAGCCTGATTGAATGACTGATTTTCCCAGAGTGTCACACTGAGGCCTCTTTGGAAATGGATGCCTGGTGGTCTGGAGGAGCCCGTGCAGCTTGAAGGACGACCTACCTTAGAAAGAGGCAGGGGCTGAGGGACGGGGGAGAATCAGACCAGAGGGAAACCACCTCCGTGCTGCCTGCGTGTGCCCCAGACTAGCCACGAGGATCTCACCAGTAACCCTGACCCCACGTGGGGGTTGGGAATGTCCTGTGGGGAGCCATGGAGGTGCATTTCTTTGGAACGAAAGGAGCAGGTCTGGGCTGCCACCTTTCTGCAAGGCGTGACCTTAGGTGTGAAGGGCCCTTTAGAGGGTCTTCCAGATTCAGACAGCTGTAGGGGCTACACTGATCTCCTAAGAGCAGACGCCTCACTTCTGCCCACCAACTGGGCTCAGGAGCTGTCCACTCACCAGGGCCCTTTGTCTCTCCCTCTTAAGAAAACCCAGCAGCTCTCGGAGGGCTCCATGTTCAGCCACGGCCTGAAGCACCTGTTCCACAGCCGCCGCCGGTCACGAGAGAGGGAGCACCAGGCGTCTCAGGATTGCCAGCAGCCGCCACAGCAGCAGCAGCAGGGCGTGTCTGACCATGACTCCCCGGATGAGAAGGAGCGTTCCCCTGAGATGCATCGGGTCTCCTATGCCATGTCCCTGCACGACCTGCCCGCCCGGCCCACCGCCTTCAACCGTGTGCTCCAGCAGATCCGCTCCCGGCCCTCCATCAAGCGGGGTGCCAGCTTGCACAGCGGCAGCGGGGGCAGCAGCGGGGGCAGCAGCCGGCGTACCAAGAGCAGCTCCCTGGAGCCCCAGCGTGGCAGCCCCCACCTGCTGCGCAAGGCCCCCCAGGACAGCAGCCTGGCCGCCATCCTGCACCAGCACCAGTGCCGGCCCCGTTCCTCTTCCACCACTGACACGGCCTTGCTGCTGGCGGATGGTGGCAATGTGTACCTCTTGGCCGAGGAGGCCGAGGGCATCGGGGACAAGGTGAGGTGGGACAAGGTGAGGGCCTTTCAGGTGGGGGGCTACTCAGAGGCAAGGGCGGTTTCGGGGCGCCGGGGGTGGTTCTGCACCTCGGGGCTGAGCTGGGGGCCCCCCCGCACAGCGGGCTTGGACACCTGTTGCCTGCAGATCAGTCTGCCTGCCTGAAGGAGGCAGAGGTAGACTGAGCCAAAGCCAGAGATGATCCCAAAGGCTCAGGCTGATACTAATTTTGGTGTGTTTTCCTCAAACATGCTATTGAGAGGAATCACGTGCAGTGGCTAAGAGCACAACCCTGCTTCTGCCACTCACCAGCTCCATCGGTCACTTAACCTCTTTGTACCTCAGTCTCCCCAGTTGAAAGTGGGGATAATAATAGAGTTGTTGTAGGAGTAAATGGCTTCATATGTGTAACATACTTGGAATGGAGCCTGGTACAGTGGTGTTTTTTATTATTATTACCAACCAAAGAAGATAGGGGCGGGATCCATGAAGTGCCGTTCAGCAAGGAGACAGTCTAGTTTGGTACTTCCTGAACTTATTCATGTAACAGGTATTTATCGAGTGCTTGTTCTGTGCTATAAGAGTGAACAAGCCAGAGGGAGCTAGCTCACTGAGTAGCGGGGAGACAGCGGGGCGAGTGGACCGATGGGGTGATGAGGCTGTGATAGAGGCTGTGGGAGCTTCAGGGTAGGGAGGCTGGAGGGAAAGGGAGAGTTGGCAAAGACCTTCTGGAGCAGTGGTCGGCAAACTGTGGCTCGCGAGCCACAGTTTGCCGACCACTGTTCTGGAGGAAGCCTTCGAGGTAAATCTTGAAGAAGGCATATAATTTAGGCAGCAAAGAACTGGGTGGAGGGGACCAGAGAGGGAAGGTGCAGTGTGTACAAAAGCAGGGTAGCTGGTGCCAGGGGCTCCTAGGGGCTCATTGTGGTTGGAGAGACCAGCACTTTGGGGGACTGACAGGTAGACTGAGGCCAGTGAGACATGGAGAAGAAACCCAGTCAGAAGACACTTGGCATTAGAACCAATAGTGCAAGTGAAGACGTGGATATGGAAGACGAAGAAGGGAAGGCTGAGAGGCTGGCTCCAGGGTTTAGGGACGGGCCTTTCCCTGGTTAGGAAACACGGGCGGAAGGAGCATGTTTGGGAGGAAAGTGGTAAATTCAATTTTGCTGTTGTCTGACTGCAGAGCTCCAGTTGGCAGCCAGGCTCATGGGGCGAGGTCTGGGCTGGGTCTAGCACCCCGGAAGTCAGCACTGAGCTTGAAGTTGGTGTAGATGAGACTCCGGGAGGGCATGTGTTGAGTGAGAAGGAGACTAAGGAGGGATCTGACGTACAGGGACAGAGCAGCCATACAGTATGTAGGAGAGAGGAGGCGGAAGCCAGAGGAGAAAGGCATTTGGAGGAGGAGGAAGTAGGCCACAGAGTGAGTGTGGCCGGGGTGCAGGCCAGATCTGGGTTTGGGAATGTAGATGGGTAGTAAGTATCAAGGTGGGGCTGCGGGGGTCACTGGGAACCAGCAAGAAACCACTTCCAGGCCATTGAGGAAGATGGTGGAAGGGGTGGCACCATGTGTAGTCTGGGGGAGGAGACAGGCCAGTGATGTGGGGTTGGGGCAATTTTATTTTGAGTGGTTTTTATTTTTATTTCATTTTATTTTTTTGAGCGGTTTTTAAAAGATGGTCAGGGAGGATTGCAGATCACATAGGGCCCAGTAGGCCAGGAAAAAGGCTTTTGACTTTTTTTTCTTAAGTGAGATGGGAAGTCATTAGAAGGTTTTTATACAGATGAGAGACACCTTTCAAGAAGATCACTCGGCTGCTGGGTGGAGAACGTGCTGTGAGCCAGGGCATGAGCATGGAGCCAGCTAGAAAGTGCTGGAAGCCTCTAGTGGGGAGATGATGGCTTGCCCCCGGGTAGGGGTAAGAAGTGCGGGTTCTGGATTTGCTTCAGAGATCAAGCTACATCCATTTCCGACAGATGTGGGGCACGACAGGGAGCAGGCAAAGATGGCTTGCGTGGTTTTGGCCTGGCAGTTGGAAAGAAGAAATTGTCCTCAACTGAGTTGGGGGAAAGTGGCAAATGGAACAGATATTTGGCAAGGGCTGTGAGGGTAGAAATGGAGCAGGGTTTAGACATGCTACATGTGAGATGTCTATTAAATGCCCATGAGGAAATGCTAGCAATCAGACGAATAAATCTGGAGTCTCGGGGAGAGGTCCAGGCTCGAGGCATACACTGGGGAGTTGTCAGTGTGTAGAGTCTACACTGTAGACGGTGCTTAAAACGGTGGCTCTGGACCATTTGCAAGCAAAGTTTCAACTATGAAGAAGTCTGTTCCGAGAGTGAGATCTGGACGTATCTCCAGAAGGGTAGCATGGCCTTGTGTGTGTGTTGGGGGGGGGGGTGATCAGGAGCTCCAAGGGGCCCAGCACAACCATCAGCCCTGCATGTGAGGCAGCCAGGCCCACAGCTCACTGCTGAGTCAGCGAATACATTTTAAAAATCAAATTAGAACAGGCCTGTTAAGTGAAGGTCTCTGGTGCTACAGCGACTGTACTTTCACAAGAGAGAACATGGACCGCGTAGTCTCTGCCCCTGGGGCAGATGGAGCGGGTGGGCGGTGCGCCCCAGGGGACGCTGGGAAGGGTTGTAGATGTTTGCCGACTGGGAGCACCGGCAGGGGAGCTCTCCCCAGGGTTTTCCATGTGGCTCGTATTTGGCCTTCACAGTGCCCTGGAGATACCCAGAGGGCAGGCAGGTTCTCTTCTTGCTGCCGGCCAAGGCCAGGCCCAGAGACTCTTGGGTGAGCTGACTGGGGTCAGGGTGGTGATGGGGGAAATGGTTGTTCCGGTGATCGTTTTCTATCCTTACTGAAAGCTTTCAGCTCCCCAAAGCTTTGTCACGTGCACTGCCTGGTTAATCTTACTAACATCCCTGTGGAGCAGGCATCATGATCTGCGTGTTACAGCTGGATAGACTGAGGCTTAGAGGGAGGAATCAAGGGGCTGCTTGTCTGAGGGTACCCAGCTCGTTCATGGCAGGGAGGAGACTAGATCCGATGTTTCTACGCAAGATCTGCCGTGAGCAGGTTTGCCTCGGCCCAGGGAGGGTGGCTTGATCTCCGTGTTGACATTTCCCTCGGTTACTCAGCTGCCGAACCTGGAGCTGCCCCTCCAGGAACTGGTGTGGCCCTGGGGGGGGTCCTTCCAGGTCAGGGAGGGGGCCCTGCTCTGTCAGCTGACTTGCCCAGACCCAGAAGCCATTGGTTGGTGTGAGAAGCTGTGGTGGTTCCCCCCTGGTCTCTGGCATGAATAGGAGGTATTCTTCTCTCTCGAGTAAACACAGCCCCACATGCTCTCTGCAAGCTCCCTGGTGATTACTAGCATCTATTTTTAATTCATAAGCCTCCCTCACTACAACACCCCTTGCCATTGTTTAGAATGCACCAGCTGGCTTTCGGACCAGAGCCCCATCCAGAGTCCTCTCGGGGGTTGAGTTATCAAAACACCCTGGAGGCAGCCAAAGTTCCTGGGCTGCCCTGGAGAGGCTCACCCGACCCCAACCTAAGAAAGTAGGGGCCCTGGAGCCCCGAGGAGAGCTTGGGCTCCGCAGAGGGACAGGATGGGGCCCCCAGCCCCAGCCGCAGTTCTGCCCTGGTGATACGGTCTGGCTGTCATTTGTTCTCTTCAAACCCAGTTAGCTGTCTTTGAGGCTGTGCCTTAAATAAGTCCCTTTAAAACAACAACAAAGTTGTCATCTCAGCCTCACCATTCTGCTTTCTATTGTTTGTGTGACACTGAGCAAGGTAACTACTCTGTCTTATATCTATAAAGTGGAGAAATATTGTCAGCATCCGCAGGCACACTGGGGCATTGGCAGGCAAACAGAGAAGGCAGGTGACACGACTTCTGGGTCCCCATCGGAGTGTGGCCTGCTCCTGGGAATCCCCGTGGCTGCAGCAGGAGCCGCTGGTCATAGGTGCAGTGACAGTGGATATGGGCTGCCTCAGCGGATGAGTTCCTACCCTCTGTTTTAATGTGTTCATTGCTGAGCAGCAATTTCTAGAAAATGTGTACTCAGGAAAATTGAGTAACTCTTTCGTCCTGCCTTCATTACCTGGGAGCGGATTGGCAGGGGTCAGCGGCCCGTGTCCCTTTTCTCCTGTTCCTTCCTGTCTGGATCATTCATTGCTTCCCTTTCAGCCTTGTTTACAACCTCTCCCCTGCCCTGGCCGGTGTGCCTAAGTGGGTAGAGCATTAGCCTGTGCACCAAAGGGTCCTGGGTTCCAGTTCCAGTTAAGGGCACACACCCAGGTTGCAGGTTTGCTCCCTGTCCCCAGTCGGGGTGTGTGCAAGAGGCAGCTGATTGATGTCTCTCACATCGATGTTTCTCTTTCTCCTTCCCTCTTTTCCTCCCTCCTTCCCTCCCTCTCTCTCTGAAAAGCAATGGAAAAAATATCCTCAGGTGAGGATTAAAACAAATTTTTAAAAAACCACAAAAACCTCTCCCCAGCTGTCACCACATTCCTCCCGCCCCTCTGGGCTGTGCGCGGTGTCCCCGGGAGGCTCTGTGGAGAGGCTAGCGCAGGAGTGTGGGTTACAGCCAGTTCTGCCCAGCAGCAGCCCCGGACCTTGCCCTGCTCGCCCTTTCCCCTCTGTGCAGTGTGCTCCGTCCCCTCTGAGCACAGGGAGCAGCATGGGGGGTGGGGAGCTGGGAGCTCACAGAGGGTGTCTGGGCAGCCTTCAGACACCAGCAAGGAGGGCCCAGTGGCAGGAGGGCTTTTATGGACAGGCCAGCCTGCTGCCCCCCCCCCGCCCCCCCTCCGGCTTTGAGGGCAGGCAGGGTGGGAAGAGGACCAGGTGCTGAGGAGTGAGGAGGAGGAGATGATGTCATGACTGGACAGTTCCCTGCGCCTGTGGAGGTGTTATCTCCAGGCCCAGCTGGGGAAACCAGTGGCTCATCAGCTAAAGCAGGGCCGGCTCCGGACACTCCTCCACCAGATT